GTAGTTCCTTGGGAACTGCCAGGCCATGAGAGATCGTATTCTTTCCTCTGTGGTCATCATACCGAGGGAATTGACTTTTTGTCCTAGTATAATAACGCTGTTAAAGCCTAGGAAGGTCTTCTCAGGACTGAGGGTGATGTTATAGCCCAGCAGTCTGTTAAAGATCAGTCTCAGGTGGGAGAGGTGGTCTTGGTAAGAGTCTGAAAAGACGATAATATCGTCTACATAGACTACACAGTAGGCTTCACATCCTCTGAGGATATTGGCCATCTGTCTGGCCACATAGGCTATACTGTTAATGTAGCCCATGATCGCCACATTAAAGGTTTCCTGCCCTCTGTGGGAGATGACAGACATCTTGTGCCTATGTGCAGGATGGACTAACCATTGATAGAAAAAGCTAGCTGCGTCAAAAACTGATAAATGCTTCTTTCCAGCGATTCTCAGCAGTAGGTCATCCTGCTGTTGGACTGGATAGACATCAGGTTCAGTGATCTCATTGAGCTTCCTGATGTCAACCACCACTCTGGGCTTGCGGACGATTTTGCCATCCTTTTCTACTTCTCTATAGGTCACAAAGACTGGAAAAGCACTGGGAGTGTGTCCTGTGCTCCAAATGAGCTTGCCTTCGTCATGGAGCTTGTCAAGTGTCTTGTTGGTGATCTCCCTCTCATCTGGACTCATTGGGTAGGCCCTTACCCTTTTGGGAAACTCTGCCCCCTTTTTGGTAGGGACTGTCATCCAATATCGCATCGGGATGTCGACGGGAGTCCCATCGTTTACCCATAGCTGTGCAAACTCCTCTACTACAGCCTCTAGATATGCGATTTCATCACTAGACCCAGCTAGTGTAACGCCAGAAGCCAATTTGTGTTTCTGCTGATCGGATTCAGGGGTGAGTGGCGATGCTTCTACCCCCTTTTTGCCTTCCTGCAGGGCGATGGTGGGATCACCTTGTCCTGCTACCATGGCATGCATGGGAGGTAATTCTACCACGGTTCCAAGCACCTCACCCTTCTCCAAGTGATAGACATGAGGAGAGCAGTTCCTGGCTATGACTACCTGGGTTTGATTACTCAATAAAGCAGCATAGAACGATAACTGTGGGTGATTTGGTTCAAAGAGGTAGTCCTTGCCTGGGCGAAGGAAACCAGGTCTTACCCCTTTTCTCCAATAGGGAACAAAGCAGTCCTTTCCAGGTAATAGCACTCTGGGCTGTGTAGCCTTAATAGCGTGAGGGGGACCTGGAAAATCGTGCTTAATCGGTTGCAACGGTGTATAGGCACCTTTGTGTCCCTTAAACTGGATCCTCTGAAGGTCTGGATCCATGTTCATTCGCTCTGGAGTCATGTTGTCTGTACCAATGAGCAAACCAGCTGGCATTTTTGGAATTATGTGAGCCTCAATCCTGATCTTACAGGTGACGGGTTCTTGATTGAGTCTAGCCGGCACTAGCAGGTCAAAGACAACCTTTTCAGCTGTAACGACGCCGCTGCTTATCCCATTGACCGGAGTTGATGGTATAGGGATCCTGTGTGCCTTGGGAATGAACTTTTCCACAAAGGATTCTGAGATCAGGGTACAGTCACATCCACTGTCTGCTACAACAAGGGCTAATCTCTGATGGTCCGAAAACCCAGTAAGGAATGCGGCGTAAACAGCCTTCTTTGAACGATTGGCAGTCTGGTACTGAGGAGAACGATATTCGCATTCAATTATCTGACTAGAGTGAGCTAATGCACGAGGAGATTCCTTGTGGTCACATTTGTGTTTGTATAAAGAGTTCCTTGACTGAAACACATTGAAGCACCAAGCACAGTTGGGTCCAATGGAAGACGCTGCGAGTCACGCAGACGGTCTAGTCGCATCTAGCCCATCAGCAACATCATCCTCAGACGCTTCACTGTCTGTCGCATCGTCTAGGTCATCCTGGACCGAAGCCAGGTGAGCTACCTTCGAGTTCTCACGCCTTTCTACTTGGGCATCGAGTTCTCTATTCCTCTGCTGATAGAAGTCAGACTTATCAGTGGGAAGTTGGGATCTGCCTTGATTCTGATCAGAGTCTCTTGGACGCTGTCTGTTCCTGCGATCCCGCCTATTATTGGCTGGGTAGTTAAAGCGGGGGCCTCGGTCTTCCTCTCTTTTCTGCTGGCTGACAGCAGTGACAAACTTGTCCATCATGGACGAGAACCGATCTAATGCCTTGTTAATAGCATCGGCGGAGGTCTCTGTGGAGGTTCCCGCATATGCGTGGGAACTTGGTATGTCCTCTGCATCATCAATCTCGTCCTTAGAGGCTGCTAGTGCTTGCCTGTTGGCATATCTGTTACCAAACCGACGAGTTCTGTCTTGGTCAGTAGATGACTGTGCATCTTCTTCCCAAACAACCTGGCGACGCTCCAATTCGCTCACAAAGGCTTCCATTGTGGTGTCTTTGGTGGGGAGTAAGACTTGTCTCCTGTAGTCAGGATGTAGTTGTGCCCAGGCTGTGGCAATGACAGAGGAATCAGAGACCATACTGTCTGCAGCCATCATAGCATAGGTAATCTGAGAGATATACCTGTCTATAGAGAGTCCTTTCTGGATCTCTGCAGGACCGAAGGAGATGGTGCTCAACTTCTTTCTGGCAGCCACTATACCCATTTTGAACTTGGTCTCTAGGTCCTGTAGCCATATCTCCAGACCTTCAGGAGCTGAGGTATAGACTAGACGCTTCTCATCGCTAGGAGTGCGGATATACCAATCATAGGCTGTTCCTTCTAGGAGTCTCTCAAGGTACTCCACAATGGGAGAGCGAGGATTTCTGTTGGTGTAGCTTCTCACCTCAAAGGCAAAGCTAGAGACATCGCGGTAGTATCTCATTTCCTTGTGATAAAAGCGGTCTCCTTCTCCCCACGCTTTTGGGGCGTCTGGGTAAAAGATTCCCACTTCTTTTACTTCCCATTTTCTGTGTTTCTCCCTGTCTATGATACCATAGTTGGGGGCAGCAGTCAGAGACCTTGCCACCGGTGCAGCCGTCTCCGCACGACGATTAGCGTCATCTAGCTGAAGCTGTAGGGCCTTAACCTTTGCTTCAGCCTTCATTAAAGCGTCGTCGATCGGTTGTGGATAGCTAGAGGCAACCCGAAGCGGGTTGTTGCCTTCTTGACTATGGCTGTCCTCGGTGTCCACCTCAATGGAGGGGTATATGTTGTCATTCAAGGCTGGGTCCAATCCCTTGGTAGCTTGGTCAGGGCGAGTTCTGTCCCGCTTGGCCATTCGTCCAGCAAAGGGTTTAAGAGTTTGTTTCATCTCTTTCACCTGTTCTTCAAGGGCTTCTTTCATTTGACCTTGCAATAACTCCTTGAGTCTGGTCATATCAGACTCAGTATAGACTGGAGTAGAGGGTTCAGGGTGAGACTGAGGGACTGTCTGATCCTGAGTGGTTCTGTCCACGTTACTAGACATTTTCGGCGATGGTTGAGTACCTTGGTGTACAATTGGAGATCTAGAATAGACTGGTTTGGAAGTGCTTTGAGGAGCGGTTGAACAAGAGGATATGCTTGACAAAGTATATACTGACGGTGGTCTAGTATGTTCTAGCTCCATGATCCTTTGTCTCAACTGTGCGTTGTCGTTATTTAAACGCTTCAATTGCCTCTGCACCCGTCTAGATTCGTGCAATTGCATCTTGTGCAATCTTCTCACCTGGGATAGCCGAGGGGTAGGGTAAGTTTGACCTCCTCCACTACCAAAATCTCTCATCTCTATGTCAGAAGGCATGAGATGGATGGGAGAAGCTGAAACTGCTTCCATTTCAGCTTCCGTGATAGCCGGAGCATCCGGAAGCGTTCGGCTAGTTGAATCACTTCTAATTGGATCATTCAGACCATTTCTGTAGGTACAGGGTGGAGAATACTCGTCAGCTTGAAAAGTCTGTAGCTGGTTCCACAGCGGAAGGTGGACTTCCGGATCAGAAGGTATAGATTGACTTCTCCTGACTGGTTTGGGGTGTATCGCTGGACTAGTCTCGTCTAGCTTTGTATTTTGCATAGTCTCATTGAGCCCTATGCTTCCCTCATCGAGTAGTCTATTCATTTCAGCACTCGGTATTGCCCCATCGGTAATAGATGCTGATGGGCTGGTGAATCGCAGACTCTCTCTAGACTCAGTATCAGAGGACTCTGGCTGAGGAGGAGATCGATATTGTGGGTTGTAGAGCACTAGCTCGTCCACTCTTTCAGACCTGCGCTTTAGGCGCTCTCCCCTGCGATAAGGAGTGTCTTCTGGGGGTGTATGCTCATGCACAGCCCTTTTTCTAGGTGTGTGAGGCATAGGAGGACTTCCCCTTGTAGTTGGATTGGTCACATCGATTGGTGTGAGATCCTGCAATGGAATGCCATCTTGCAATGGCTCCCTGTCCTCAGTAGTCCTGTCTAGTTGGCTACTATTTGGCCTGCAGTGTGCACTCCTTGGAGGACTACTGCGAGGCTCTGATCCGCTTGCGCTAGAGCGTGCTAATCGTGCAATAAAGCTAGGATCATGTCCTTCAGCATAAGGTGGTAGGTTCCTTAGCTTCATGGGACCTAGAGGTGGTCTATCAAATCCTCCCTCTATGACCAGACGGGTATAAATCTCCCTATAAGTCTGAGTCTCTCGCAAGGACGCTGTTTTGGTATAAAACATCGTTATGTCTGGATTGATATCTCCCCTGTTGCCTGTCCCCCACAAAGGAGGCCAAGTACCAACAATATCTGCATATCCATTGCGAGTTTTGTATGCTCTCACCTGAGGAGGTGATGCAGTGGGAGTATCTCTTGCATCTGGTGCAGAGACATGCCTTCCAGTGACCATGGAGGCCACTGCCAGCACTTGAGGCGACAGCTGAGACCAAAAGATTGATCTAGAGTGATAGTAATTCACAATGTGCTTTGCCATTGTCTGAACTGGCGGTGGTACCGCTACCAAATTGTTGGAAGTCATATTATGACCGCTGTGATGCTGGATTTGAACCTATCTTTTGTTCAGAATGTTAGTCAAAAGGATATCTTGTATCGGAATAGGTCTAGTTGCCAGTGTTCAATCGTTATCGATGCAATTGTGCGATCGGTACAGTTGAGAATTGTCTGGACGTTCCTAGGGTAAGTACTAGCGGATCAATTCGCTATAGAATGATACTAAATCGGCCTGAGTCACCTAAAGGGAATATACTCAAGTATTCTAATTGTCAAGAAAGGCAGTCTTCTTGCTGTCTAATCCACTGTCTCCTTCTTCAGGCGTGATGGGATTAAAGGACAAGAATGAAAGGTTCCTTAAGGATTAGATGTACTGATATAGACTGTCTAGATGAAGTTATTGGCTCAGGAGCTGGGCTTTTAGCACATGCTACCATTTGTGAGGTCGATTCTGGGAAAGATCCCAGAAGGGGCGGAAGAACCTCTTCTAGTGGCGCAATGTTAAAGGTCTGCCACTGACCTGCATCAGTCACGTCCAATAGGAGCGTAAGTTGAGTCTTAGACTCAACTAGAGCATCTCTATGGAGAGGTGAAGGAAGAGCACTGCTCTTGGTTAAAGGCTAAAGCCTGGTATTCACTTACAGTGAGCAAAATGTAGGGGTATGTTAATAAGATTGTAGATAGATTGTTTGTTGTAGAATACATGACTCTAGTACTGTATATATACTACTCGGGGGCGTAAAAGGGGTATCTCCGTTGGTACATCTCCTTTGTAGCCCACTAGACGAGACTAGACACCTGTGGTGTCTATTCTTTGTCATAGTCTCTCGTCTTAGTGACGGAATATGGCCAACTCTGGTTTGTGACGTCACAATATTGCCCCTATCCACACACTCCCTCTTCACAGCATGCAATTTGGCTATGCAGACGATCTAGCTCTGCTACATAATTCGTCTACTCCTGAAGCCAATGTCGTTGCTCTGCAACAGGATCTTGAGAATATCTTAACATGGGGAGACACCATGGGTATCTCCTTTGATCCTGGCAAGTCTGAATTGATGCATTTCACCCGGCGTCCGCGCGTCAGTAATCCTGACTTGCACTCACAAATACACCCCTGTTGGTCTATACCTGCGACTCCTCTTAACAAACCCATGCGTTGGTTAGGGGTGTGGTATGACCGCCGCCTCTCCTTTCAACCTCATGTGAGAATTGTTAAGGCCCGAGGACTTCAGACAGCTGCTCACCTTAAAGCCTTAAGCTCTACAGTACGCGGTCTCTCCCCTTTAGTGGCTAGAGCTGCAGCAGTTGCATGTATTCCCTCTTCAATATTTTATGCCGCGGAATCATGGTGGCAGGTCTGCACTGCCCACTGTGACTGTGAACGGAGCACACGCCCCCAAAGCCTTTCGAGCAACGAACATCAACTTAATATAGTGCTAAGCGCCATGTGTCGAGCTATACTCCCTGTTTACAAAACTACCCCCACTGCTGCTCTCTTCCGTGAAGCAGGAATACCCCCTGCTAAAGCATGGCTTAATGAAGCATCAGGCCGTATGGCACTTCGTACTCAGCGTTTGGACATCTGGCACCCTCTTGTGACTCGTGCTACAAACTTGGAGTCCTGGAGATCAAATAAATCCCGTTTAGCTCGGGCTTTTGCACTTCTCGAGACACCCATTGAACGCATCACCCCGTTACGCTCACCCCCCTGGACTCACCAACCTTCTAACACCGAATTACATCGCAGAGTTGGGTATAGTGCAACTATGAAAACTGCTGAAGGTTATCGATATCAGGAATGGCTTCACAGCATTCCCCCATCAGCGGTACTCGCCTTTAGTGATGGCTCTCAAGCTGCCAATCAGCATACTGGCAGCGGCTGGGTTCTTTACCATCACTCTAATATTCTTCAACAAGGGGTATTGCCTCTAGGCACCGCAATGGAGGTGTTTGATGCTGAAGCAACTGCAGCCTATTGTGCACTCAAGAATGCCTCAAAGTATGCACACCTTGGTCCAGTATATTTATGCTTAGACAATCTTGCCGTTGCAACGCGCATTGTCGCCCCTGAGACTTGTTGCTCTAGCCAACAGATCTTTGACAAGATTCACGCTCTCTTAGCCAACTTTCCAAGTCTACATGGTGTGCCTACCGTCCGCTGGGTTCCTGGGCACTCTCAGTCACACGGAAATGACAAGGCTGATCTTTTAGCTAAAGAGGGTACCACCTCTCTCGCTACATTTCGTTACATCTCATATGCTCGAGCACGACGTGCCCTCTGCATACAAAAATGGGCTCTCGCTGACGCTCATTTCACACACCATCAATCAGCCCGCTACCGCCTACTCAATCTCAACGCCCGAAATGTCCCCAAGGAGCTTCAGCTCAGTCGGTATACTCTTGGAAAGCTTCTCGCCTGTCGATCCGGGCATGGCGACTTTGAAGCCTATCACATACGCTTCACCCACCATGATGCCAATATGCGCTGCCAGTGCGGTTTGCCTAAAACCCCAGATCACTTCAGCTCTTGTCTAGCGGTACCCAGACGCTTCCGCTTCTCGAATACACATACCTCACTTGCACTTCTTTCCACCTTCAATGGTAGCCTACGATTTGAAGCCTGGGTGCAGAAAACGAATTACTTCAATCAGTACTGGTCTCAGCACTAAAAAAAAAAAAAAAATTATCTTATGTCAAAAAAAAAAAAAAAAACTTAACCATCGTCGTTGATGCCTGAGGATTGTTAAGGACACTGGAGCCCCGTAGTACTCTGCCAAATAAGTTGTTCTTTGAACTGTCTACTTAGCAGAGGGGGGCATTACAGCATAATTGCTGGACAACCCTGGCTCAGGTCCAGACGGGGCAGCTAACCCCAGGACCTCAGCCTCCATCTCACATCTCAGAAGGCAGAACTCTGGATAAGCCAGAGACTCGAACCCGCAACCTCAGTAAAACTGCTCAGTACAATAGGAACCTAAGCAGGAAAACCTGAGATCACTGATGATGCTTCCACCTCAGCCACCTAGACGGTTAAGTTGTTATGTGGTCCTCTCATCTCTTCTTATAACCCCCCCTCGTAATTTCTGCCTTTCTCTGTTCTTTTCTTCCTTCTCTTCCTCTACACCCTCCTAGCAACTCACCACTACACTGGTGTCTCCCCTCCCAGCCTGCTTACCCTTCGTGAGCCTTCCCCTTCCTCTGTCTGCTCTGCACCTTTACTTACTGCTGCCTTTGAGGCTCGTCTATTGCCTGTACATAGGATTTCCGTGACGTTAAAATCAATCAATCAACATCTACAACATCTGATTACCCATGCATTGAGGTACTCGAGAGATAAGTAAGAGTGCCAAAGAACAGACGGCCATCAGCTACCTTCTTCCCCCCTCCTTCTCATCCTGCTGTCCCTGACTTCATCAATCATCAATTGAGCTCAATTATTTGACCATGATTGACCAGGGATGTAGGGACTCTCACACTAGACCAGAACAGGCTAGCGTGCCAAGACCATGAATCATTATTATTCAACCCGATGTCATCGACTGCAACAACGACTGTAAAGACTTGTAGAGGAAGATTTGGAATATGTGAAGTAAAATTTGTATTTTCATCTGACATATATAACATAATTAGACGGGAGGAAGCTGGTGCTGGGTGGCTGTTGATTGCTTGTCTTTCATTTTGTGTTTTACTGATCTCCTGATCAGTTTGCGTATATTATAACTACCTGCATCCTCGATTCGCCTCCGCGACGAATTGCATCCAGCAAACAATTTTTTTTTCTTCAAGCGCATACGGCATTACGATCCTGGACGATTTCACGTCAAAAGTTTGACTATCATATTCCTAGTTATGAGCTCTGCCGATACTGGGGGAGCTGCAGCATCTTCAACGCAGCCTCGTACTGAGAATCGTCGGCCTAGGCATCGCACCAGGCATAGAAAAAACAACGAAAATGGAGACGTGAACGCCTCGGCAACAAACCCGGCTCCTGCTGCTCAGTCTCAGTCTCAAGAGCAGGGGCAGGGTGGTTCACAACCACAAAGAAGCCAGAGAAATCCACGGAGACATAGACGGCCACGGCAGCCTCAGCAATCTGATGTCGCAGTCGCTGCTCCGTCGGGAGCGCAAGAGTCGGCAGACCGTGTCGTTGCCGAGCAAAACCAAGACCAAAGTCAGTCGCAGCAACGGCAGAGGCCTGAGGGTTCGAGGAGGAATAGGCAGCGCAAAGGTCGTGAGCAGGGCGAAAGCCATGATTCACGACCAGATGGTGCAAATGCCGCTAGCAGCAACAACGGTCGAAATAATAGACGAGTGCTCGCAGGACCCGGCAGAGTTTTTGGCTCAGGTCTCACTCAATCATCTCAGGATACATCTAGACTGCCACAGATATCAGCTGCACAGGACGGCCTTCGTGCCGATGCCCCTGACTTCGTACCCGGTCACCCGACGCATGCACAGCCTGCTTCAATCGACGGATCAGTCTCGGGCAAGCCCAAGAGCAAGAGAACAAGGAGAGGTGGGAAGGGCAAGGAGAGCAGAGAAGCTGTAGCACCACAGCAACAGCAACAGCGACAGCAGCAGCCTGCTGTTGTGTACGATAAGTCGACAGCAGACGACATCACAACACGAATTCATGAAGATATCTCTCACAACATATACGAATGCCCCGTATGCACCAGTGAGATTGGCCGCAGGACGAAAGTCTGGTCATGCACACATTGCTGGACTGTGTTCCACTTCGGCTGTATCAGGAAATGGGCCAGCAACGAGGGCTCAGTCGTGACTCGGCCACGCGGTGAAGTGTCTGGAGACGATAGTGAGCAGAAGCGACAGTGGAGGTGTCCCGGGTGCAATCTACCACACGAAGTCATGCCTGCAGTCTATAGCTGTTGGTGCGAGAAGGAAACAGATCCTAGACCGTTACCCGGCCTACCTCCTCATTCGTGTGGACAGACTTGCTCGAAGCCTAGGGACGGATGCCCACATCCCTGCGATAGCGTGTGCCATGCTGGTCCATGTCCACCA